ACAATAAAATGGACTTACCGGACATCAGTCGTCACCCCCGGGTTGACAGCAATGCCCAGCCGCGAGGTCCCAGGGATCCCGGTCAGGGGAAGGACCAGTGCCACCAGCGGGTAAATCCAGACGATGCGGCTGAAGGTCCTGGGACAGGGCCCGCACACTCGATGGCCGGACCCCAGACCCTTCCGGGTCGAGAGCCGGAGGGGACAGGAGCTCTGCCTGCTCCAGCCGGCGGCGAAACCCAAATGGAATTGCGCAGGTCAACCAGGACAATCAAGCATCCCGCCTACCTATGTGACTATGTGACTTTCATTCGCGCTGATAGACAGACTTCGAACTAGGAGGGGAGGGGTGTTATGTCCTTATAAGGACATCCGCCGGGGATTGGCTAATCCACCGGCGGGAGATTCAAACAACTGTCATTGGACGGCTGAGTCTGCCGAAGCGTATAAAAGAGCTCCGGCAGCACAGCCGTCCATCTTCATTCAGAGCTGAAATAAAGGTACTGAATGGACCAGAGCTGGTCGCGTCTTCCTTTCCCTGCGCCGATCCAACACCTTTTATGCACAACAGAGTGCAGAGTGAGTGGTATAAATATAAAGGGAAGTGGGGGTTGTTTACAGCATCAGTTGGACTTCTATAGTTTAAAGATTGGAAGGGACAAAGTTTGCTGGCTTTTCAGATGAGCTCATACAATAATCTTATTTCCTTTAGCTCTTTGCTTTAGCTGAATGGAACAGCTGCAACAGGGTTGCTCAACCTTAGGAACTTGAAGATGTATGTACTTCAACTCTCAGAATTCCCCAGCCAGCACTCAACTTCTGGGAATTGAAGTCCACACATCTTAAAGCTATTGAGAAACATCAAATCCAGTGGATTATGGAGAGGCAAAATCCAGTGGAGCTGATTCTCTGCAGGGCTGATGCAGATTCTGCTATTCTTTTTTCCTCTGAAATGACTGCTAAAATACCTAACTATGTTGGGAAAACAACAATAGCATTGTCACAATCTGTTTGTCAAAGGCTGCTCTTCCCAGCACAAAACTATCCAGATGTTTTGGACTTCCTGTTTGCTGCTGGCCGCCGCCAGACGTTCCTTTGGGATCGTCAGCTTCCACTGCCTGTCAGAGCCACCTTCACAACGGAACGGCGGCTCGAAAAAACTCCGTTCCCATGAGGAAACGGAGATAGAGCCGGCAGGGGTGGGTAGAACTCTCTGCAGAGTCCCAAAAGTTTTTCTTTTACTTTTGGGATGGAGCGGATGAGATGCCCCATATCCCCAGCCGCTGCTCCGGGCTTTGGGAGACCTCTGCTAATGCAGAGCCAGGCGTCAAAAGCAAGCCTGCGAATTTGACAGATTACTCAAAGAAAATGTGAGCTGGACCTGTAATACTGAAGCGCAAGTATTTTACTTATCTTTTAAAAATTACTTAAGAGAATAGAGGAAGAGAAAGAGGAAAAAAGTTTTTTTTTTAAAATGGCGTCTGCCGCGGCTGGAGAAGAGTTTGAGAGGGAAAGTTCTTCCGTTTTTTATTATTACAATGTAGCGGAATAAATACCACTGGCTACATTTGTAGACAAAACTCCGCTCCTGTTTTTGTTTTTCTCTTTTTCCCCTGGAGGCCTGATTGTTGCTGGCTGGAAGTTTTTTGTCTTGTTTTTTTTTTTTTTTTCTTCTAACAAAGCCTGCTTAGGCGGAAACATGGCACTGAGGCTTGTGAAGTCAGACAAACAAATAGGTGGGGGGGGATTCCCCCACTAAGAATTTAAAGGAACAAGTTTTAACTCTTCAGTCCCAGAAACCTGATTTTAATATAATAGAATTTCTCTTAGAGGAGATTGAAAGAAGGGATGAGATTGTGAATCAGCAACTTGAAAAATTTAAGCAGGAAACTAAGGAATTGGTGAAATCCAAGTTTGACTTTTTGCAGCAAAAAATTTTAAAAGTGTCAGAATTCATGATTCGGTTGGATACAAATACTAATTTACTAGAATCAAAAATGGATGAAATTCAAGATAAATTGGACAATAGAATTCAAAAAATTGAAAATGATTTGTTAAATATTCAGGATTATAGTTCAGAAGAAAAATTTAAAATGGATGCTGACCAAAAGTCTGGTAATGTAGAAAATCTGCAACAGAGGTTTGAAAAAGAGGTTCTAAAGATACAATATAATTTCACAGAATATGCAATAAGACTTAGAGGTTTGCAGGAAAATAACAGAGATGACTTAAGGAAAATATCTTCTGAATTTTTAGCTGGGATTTTAAAGATTCAACCTGAGGAAGTGTTTTGTAGGATTGACAGAGCTTATCGAATAAACTCCTGGACTGCCAAGCAAAGGCAATTGCCTAGAGATGTGGTAATCTATTTTTCAGATAAAGAAATTAGGAATAAAATTGTGCAAAATTCCTTCAATTCTAATTTGCAATTGTATGGAAGAAAGATTTGGATTTACAAGGAACTCCCACCTAAGATATTAATGGAAAGGAAGAAATTTGGCTTTTTGGTGTCTGAGTTAAAAAGGAGAAATATTCAATTCCGGTGGGACGTCCCAGTTGGTATTATATTGAGATATCAAGGAGAAAGATACCAGTTAAATACTGTTGAAAGAGCGGAAGAATTTTACCAAAATAGGTTGAAAATGAATTTAACGTCTTCAGATATAATACAGGATAAGCAGAAGGAGCTGGAACTAAAGACAGAGACTGTACCAGATAAATTGCCTTTGGATTTATCGGATACCCCAGCTGGATTATCTACAAATTTGAGAGAAGTGCCATCTGATTTTAATGTGATGACTTATCAAGGCAAGGACAAGCATGGAAACCAATTAGAGGATATACAAGGGATAAAAAAGAAACGCGAGACACAAAAAATTAGGATGGAAGTCAAACCCACAAAAAGAAAACAAAAAAAGAAATAGGTTGTACAAAAATAGAAATTTCTAACCCAAGCAACAGTGAAGCCAGTGATTTTAAAATATGAATGATTATGTGAAAACATAGAGGAGGCGACATATTGGTCAATATCATCCTGAGGATAGTGGCAGATCTCTGCATTGCCGTAATTTTGGGACATGGAAAGAGCCTCAAATTGATGGTTTTGAATTATCTACTTTGAAACTTCTTTTTGTGTTGATAAATATATTATAATTATCTTGAATTATAAGGCAAGAGAATCACATTGGGACATGCAGAAGATCGGGTTGTTACCCAATACGATGATGGAAATTAATAATCCTGATGAAACCCACAATTATTACTATATGGAATATAATTATAATGTCACTCGGGTGGTTGTTTTTACTTTTATATATATAAGAAGATGTTTACTACTGATGGGGGGCAGATATGATTGGAGATCTTGAATAAACTGTTGCATCAGCAAGCTATGTTACCCTATTATGGATGTTGGTTTTAACAATCCAGTGGAAAGACTTCAAGAAGATATTATATGGACTATAAATTTAAAGTTATTGTCTTTTCTTTTTTTATTTAGATATAATGGAATATATATATATATATATATTTTTAAGTAGTGTGGGCAGTGAATTAAAGATATCAAGAATTGTTGTGTATGGTAAATTTGTAAGACAGTGGGTGAATAAGCTAGCTACAGACTGATTAGTTTAAGAAAAGGGATTTTTAAGTGATACATTTAGGGGAGTGGAGGAAATGGATAGAGTGGAATAAATGTTAAATTAGATTTTATGGGGAGCCCGCTTTGAAATGTTATTAAAGTAGGACTTATCGTATAGTTTTAAAGTGGAAGGTGGTTTTGAATTGTTGCAATAATGTATAGATATAAAACACTATTATGCTAAATTAGAAGTTATTTTATAATAGTTATAGTATAATGTGTTTGGTTTTTTTTGTTTTTTTTCTCTTCTTTTCTGAAATGTATGGATAAAGGGGGATTTATAATACTTTTAGTAAGTAAAGGTCAGTATTTTGAGGAGGGAGTAAGTAATCTGTTATGAATTAGGGTTTTTTTTTGTTACGAAGAAGTCACAGGGGGGGAAGGGTGGGGAGGGGGGGTTAGGGAGGGGGGGGAGGGGGGGAAAAAGGGGGAAAAATTTGTATTTGAAAACCTTTTCAATAAAAAAAAAAAAAAAAAAAACTATCCAGATGTTTTGGTATGTCAGAATATCTGGTATATTTGGTACGGCCAGAATATCTAATTATTTTAATACTGTTTTTTAAATTTTGTATGCTTTGTTTTTACTTAGGCTGTGCCTGAGTCCTATTTGGAGAAGGGCGGTATAGAAATTTAAACAAACAAATAAATAAATAAATAAATGTCCACTCTTAGAATTCCCAACAATATGGTCCAATTGTTTGAGCTGGATGAGGCTTAAAATTGAAAGATACTTCCTCTTATCCCTTTGTGGTTTTCCTGTCATGTTTTTCTTGGATTAAGCTACTCTATCAGAATGAATTGGGTAGAATAGTTGTTGCTTAAAAGAAGGGAATGAATTAGATCAAGGGCAAGGGCAATCAAGGGAATGAATTAGATCAAGGGCAAGGGCAATCAAACTCACATTCCAGATGTTGCTCACCACAGCCCTTATTATTTGGGGGCAACTAGAAATGGTAACTTAGCAGTTTCTGGAGAACTGGCTTCTCCTAGAATGTCCAAGATAAGATTGTTTAATTCCCTTCAATTCTGTAAATCAGTAATTTTGCTAAAAATATTTAGAAAGAGGATGTAGAGAAGGAATATTGTACAGAGAAGAATATCAGAGTCCTCTGAATATTCCTATGGGAACTGGAATTTTGTTATCTGTCCCTCTTTGAGCTAGGATAGACGTATGTACTTTTGAATGATAAACTCTGACTTTAAAATTGGGTATTTTTGCGGTGGCTCTTAATGCCAATCATCTCAGTAGTCTAACTCCCATTTCCCTGGCTATGACGCAGATGGAGCTGCTGAACTGATTGGGGCATGTTTGAGCTATCAGTTATGCTTTCCTGGTCAAGAAATCCTCATATCCTTTTCAGATAAAAAGGAATATTAAATTCACTTGGCGAAGCATCTTCAGAGCACTGTGAGAAAGCACCAGGAAGACAAACAGTAATATATTCAAGAATGGTAAGGAATCTCCATTTCTCAATATTGGGAGGTATGACAGAGTGGAAACTAATGAGACCACTAGAAGCTAATGGAAGGAAGGAAGGAAGGAAGGAAGGAAGGAAGGAAGGAAGGAAGGAAGGAAGGAAGGTTAAAAGTGTAATTTGACACTTGCATAAACTCAAATCCAATGAGTTGTACTAACTTCCAATATCCTTCCTATGAGTAATATTATGAAACTTCTAAAACACAAATCTTATTAAAAGACAATGCTTTTAGGTTATACAACTCTAGTTACCCCTGTGGTTTACTAGAGCCTTTCTTTAAAGAAAGGGTGTTAGGACAATACAGGAAGTTGAATTAATTTTGCACAACTAGTATGCAAACTTTCAAGTTTTACCTATAGAGATTCTTCTGTGATTTAATGTTTTGTAAACTGTGGTGATGGAGAAGACCAGTGATTGCCACTTGTAACTTTTTTAAAATAAGCTTGTCAGGATTGATCAAACCTAAAGTCTCTGCTAACTGCTCGTGCTGAATAGTTTTCAATTCATACTGCATCAAAGATTAAAGAAACAATAATATATGTGTTTGTGTACGTTTGTAAGAATGTACTTGGTTATAATGCTGTCTGATTCACACCAGAACAACTGAAGAAGGCAGAAGCTGAAATCCAACCTTCTTATTGTTAGTTAATTAAAAAAAACAAACATTCATATTTTGGTGATGCTCCATGCTCGTTCAGGATCCAGAATAAGTAAACTAATTTAAAATGATACTTTAACAGTCATTCAGGTCTGTATATTTATTTTCCCTTTTTTGTTTTCTAATATGCTCTTTTCAGAAGATTCTTTCAGGAATCATTTTGGACTTTTATATGGATGTTTCACAATAATTTGGATCAGAGGTAATGAAAGCAGCAGTTGACTGGCTAACATAATTTTCTGTTGTTATTTTTTCATTCTTTCTTTTGGAAAGCTGAATGAGAGAGCAGTCCGCATATCTGTGAAGGGTGTGGGAATCAATATTCCTATTAGGTCAATATCTTTATTTATTCAACTCACTGGCATGAAATAAAATGCAAGATTTTTACATCCTTGATAAACATTTCTGGAAAGTTTTGCCTGCTGTTTTGTGCCTTAAGGTTGTCCTTAAGTCAATTTTGGAACTGTCCTTTTAGATATATTATTGATGCTGGAATTTGGGTGGACATTTTGTTAAAATCTTTCCCTTACAGGATACACAAAAATTTAAATTCTAAGGAGCAGTGAAAAGAAATTCGGAAATGAAGATTCAACTCTTTCCTAAACTAGCAACTGAATGCTCCCTGTGGCTCTTGTTAAAAGAGGGAAGAGAATCCCGGAACTTGGTTTTACTGGTTGTGTTTGTGGCTCTGCTAGTAGACAATATGCTTTTCACAGTTGTGGGTATGTAGTGTTTTGGTTTGCTCATTCTTCTTAAATGTGGAGCCTTTTATATTGCTTTCCCTCACACAGCAGCTTATTTCAGCAGCCGCTTCTTAATAGTATCCATTCAATTTACCCAGAATTCCTCATAGATTGTTCAAGGGCATTCTGAATAAAATAATATTGGCTGCCAGTTGGAATGATATTAGTTGCTGTATATATTCATGTACAAGCAGATAACCTTATTAGTTGCAATATATACTTGTGGATAAGTGGATATGCCACACCCTATTTTTCATGGTACAGTATATTGGTTAAAAATTCAAGGGTTTGCTTATCTGTGGATGGGTGTATACGCATATGGAAAATATGAATGCTGTACTTTTAAAAAAGTGCCATTATATGTAACTGTGGATACGTCCATCTGTAAATAAGCCAAACCCTATTTGGGGGGTTCATTTTAGCACCTAAAAATTTCAAGTTTATCCCAAAGTTTTACAAGTTTATACCCCAAGTTTGTATTTGACTGCCATCATCCCAAACCTAATCAGATAGCCCTGCAATATAGTTAGTGTGTATGTCAGGGGTGTCCAACCTTGGCAATTTTAAGACTTGTGGACCAACTTCCAAAATTCCCCAGCCAACAATGTACAAGTCTTAAAATTGCCAAGGTTGGGCATCTCTATGTATGTGTTTGTGTGCATAGATAAAAAAGCAGTTGGTAGAAGGCAGAAAGCAAATATATTTAAGATAAAAACAAAAAGGCAAACTTTTTTTTTTTGCAGGAGAAATATTGTCTAGCTGTTCTTTTTTTTTTCAGTGCCAATCATCCCTTCATTTCTATATGCTGCACACAAAAATATCAGCCACTCTGCAATTCAGGCCACATTTCCCAGGATTCCTGTGCCTTTCTCAGCTGATCCCTCTACTTCGGGCTTGTTGGACTATGACAACATCACAACAGTCTCAAGCCGTGATACTCTAGTCAGTGTCAGTGGGAGCCAAGAAGGAACAATTGCCTCCCCTTTCCCCATGGATGCTTTCAACCATAGTTGTACAGCTGGAATGGACTCTCTTTCAAATGAAAATGTTCGTGTTGGGCTGATCTTTGCCTCAAAAGCTTTGATGCAACTCATAGCAAATCCCTTTGTGGGACCCTTGACCAACAGGTAGGTCAGTTTTTAAACAAACAAATCAGAAAGACTTTCTGTACTGCAACACACTCAATTTGTAAACTTTCTAAATACTCAGTAGGAGCTAGTTTCGGCTAGTGGTTAAGCATCAGGCTAGCAAACAGGAGACTCTGACTTCTAGTCTTGCCTTAGGCCAGTCACTCATTCTTGGCCTTAGGAAGGAAACAATGGCAAGTTACTTCTGAAGTCTTGCCAAGAAAGAATTGGCTTCATGCCCAAGGCAGGACTTCTTGTTAATTTTGCAAAAACTGGGGAGGGTCCTGTCTGAGATGCTTTTTCAAACTATATTTCTGCCCTGGACCCATATTTCTTCTATCTGACCATTATCTTGCAGCTTTTCTTCCTATTCCTCTTACTTCTTAAGCCTGTTACAGTTGCCATATTTGCAATAGGGCCTCTATGATGATTCACAACAGAAGACATGCGTAATGGCAACTAAAGCAGGCGACTGCAACCTGCTGTTTTAAAGCATCTCCAATACCTGATTTGATCTGATATTAGATCAACCTTTCAGGAAATGAAAATTGTGTCCCCTACTATGATGGGTGCTCAGACACATAGAAAATCTTGTTTCCTTCTTCCTCCCGGTCATTCAAGAAATGTTATGAAGTAGCTTGTGTTGTACAGTGAACTCAAAACCATTTTTTGGTCCCTGTAGGATAGGATACCATATCCCCATGTTTTTTGGATTTATTATTATGTTCGTCTCTACACTATGTAAGTATGAACACCTACACAACATGTACACAACATGTATCTCCTCTGATGTTGCTGGATTTGAACCTATGGGAGTAGAATACAACAGACCCTGTTTACAGTACCATTCAACTATGTTTACAGAATAGAGATGTGGATAATACAGAAACCTATTCTTTAAGTTTAGAAAGTGTACAGAGAAGAATAACAAAGATGATGAAGGGTCTAGAGGCTAAATTGTATGATGAACAGTTGAGGGAGCTAAGTAGGTCTAGCCTACGAGACGGATTGGAGGTGGGGCATGGTAGCTGTCTTCTATTGTTTGAGGGGCTGTCACAGAGAAAAGGGGATTGAATTATCCTCCAAAACACCAAGGCCAGGACAAGAAGTAATGGGTGGGAGCTTGTTAAGGACAGATTCAATGTAGAAGTAAGGAGAAATTTTCTGACAGTGAGTACAATTAATCAGTGGAACAGTTTGCCTCCTGGAGTTGCAGAGACTCCATTGCTAGAAGCTTTTAAGAATAGACTGGACAATCACTTGAGTGGGATGGTATAATGGTATAAGGTCTCCTTGTGCAGAGGGTTGGATTAGAAGACCTTTGAAATCCCTTCCAGTCCCCCGATTCTATGTTTGTGGAATAATATTGAATAGTTTTGGTTCTGGGGCAGGCAATCTAGCGTCCTGCAAATATTTTGGTCTCAAAACCCATAATATCTTTGCCTTAAGTTATACTGACTACAGATGCTGAGAGACTAAAATATTAGAACAGCTCAGTTTGCTTCATCTTGATATTTGTCCAATATAATTCAATAAAATAATATGTAACCAGAATTTCAATGTACTTTGTCTTTAAATGTAAATTGGTTGTTCTTGTTATTTTACAAATGACTGTTATTACTCAATTAGTCTATTGAATGGATAACTAGCAGTTTCTGTTTTATTCCTCATTTCCCAAAATAAAATCAGTGTTGGCTTAGGCTGCCATCAATTTATTTTTAAAAACTCTACATGAAAATTCCAGCATATGCATTTCTTCTCATCTGCATTGCTGTATGTAATTTTCCTCCTATATAACACTTTTTGTAAGTAATCTTCTCCTAATGTAATACATTTTTATTCTTAATTCCTTTCATTTAACTTTTTTGTTCTGAACATTGAAAAAAAAATCTGAAAAATGCAGGTTTTGGCACATAAAGGTATTGAGGTTCATGAATTGCTTTGGCAAATCAGACCAATTCATAAACTGCAATCATCCATTCAGTGCCAGGAGTTCAATCCTGATCGGCTCAAGGTTGACTCAGCCTTCCATCCTTCCGAGGTTGGTAAAATGAGGACCCAAATTGTTGGGGGAAATATGCTGACTCTGTAAACAACCTAGGGCTCTGTAAAGCACCATGAAGTGGTATATAAGTCTAAGTACTACTGCTATTTAGCAATGAGGCAATCAAGTTCTCTCCAAAAATCCTTTTTTGAAAGCATCCATAATTCCAGTAATCTGATTCTGTGCCTTTTTCTTCCTTTAGTGTTTGCTTTTTCAAGGAGTTACACCTTGATGTTCATCGCTCGAGCACTGCAAGGCTTTGGTTCTTCCTGCTCATCTGTTGCAGGTAAACATGCTGGCAGGTATTATTGGCAATGCTATAGATCTTGCACAGCTGGGACAATATCCTGGAGTGCCAGGAGGCACCTATTTATTAATTAAATAGATTTATATGGCTGCCCAACTCACACTTGGTGACTCTGACCAGCATATTATATTAAAAATCAACAATACAACCCCCCCCCCCCACACACACACACTCATTGCAGTGATGATAAACATGATCATACAAACCACACAATCAGCTCCAAATGAACCTGAAGTCTCCAGACTGACTGACAAAATCATGTCTTCAGGGCTTCCAGAAAAGTAGCAAGGAGGAGAGTCAACCTTATTTAAGGGGAATGATGTTCCAAAGGGAAGAAGCCACTACAGAGAAGGCCCCTTTTCTAGGCTCTATTAGGTCTACTTCTTTAATAGATGGGACCTGCAACATTCCTTGCCTTCCCACTCTGATAGGTTGGGAGAATATTACATCTTGAAAGTGAAAGTTCTTCTTTACATTTGGTATCTCCAGTGATGGACAGGAAAGTTGCCCACCTGGAATCTTTGATTGTTCCTATTCACATCGCTTAGCTGGATGACCAAAGATCTCATTCCTTGTTCTCAAACAAGGGACCAAGAAGGATATACCTCCTGCAACGTATAATTTCTATATCAGTTCTACTTTGCTTTTTGGAGTAAAGAGACTGATGCTGAAATTATAAAGGGAAAATCTATTTATTGAGTTGAAAGGTTTGTGGTGATAAAAGAAATTTTTAAAAAGAAAATCTTCAATATTGGAGGAGATTTGGGGTGGAATATTGGGGAAGCATACTTTCTCCCTTATCACAGATGAAATTACACCTTCCACAACAGCTGGTGGTAAAAACCAGGGGAAAAGAAGAATTCCATAGACCATGAAGGTAGTCTCAGTCTTTCACTTCTGTACAGTGCAATAATGCTAACACTAACCCATGCCTGTTGCTTATTTCCAGCAATTCAAAACTGATTGGCTCCACTCTGTCTCTGCCTGCAGGTCTGGGGATGCTTGCAAGTGTGTACCCTGATGACTGTGAGAGGGGAAATGCAATGGGAATAGCACTGGGAGGTCTGGCTTTGGGAGTGCTGGGTGAGTAAATGTACATTTAATACTGTTTAGGGCACGTAGGAACTCATTCAGAGCTTACTTTCGTGCATCTCCCCAGCTGCTTCCTTTTAAGACTCTGTTCATTATTCAATTGTCTTTGTCTTTAGTTCATTTCCCAACAGTTAAGCTGGAAAAAGATAGATCTGCTTATATCCAAATGGGTCTTTGCATGTAAGCACAATTTACTATGGATTATTGGTTAGCATTCCTGGAAGAGAATAAGTGAAGAACATTGGAGTGTAGATACTCAAGAGTAGATACTTCTAATAAGGTCACCCAAGGCATGAAGCTCACTCTAGTCCCTCCCTCCCAAACACAATTGGGGATCCATATTGGGTGGCAAGGATATAGGAAGATACTGGAAGGTGATCACTGTAGTGATAATAGTAAAGACATCATTTTCAACCTGCTGGGAGAAGGCAATGATAAACCACTCCTGTATCTGACCAAGAAAACTAAATGGCTGGACAATATAGTGTCATATATTGGATGATGCTCAACATGCTACTGGGGAGAAGCTGAAGTTCTTTTGAAGTATTAGTGGTGCTTATAATGCATATTGTTGGTGATATTTTTATCTATTTGTTTATTAAATTTATATGCTGCTCATCTCACTGATAGGGCGACTCTGGTAAGGCTATGTTGATATGTAGGAAGAGAAAATCCAAACCTGCAAAATCAGAATTGCAATGGAAACATGAAATATTAGAAGCATGAACATGGGGAAGTTCAACACAATCAAATATAAAATGAATTGGCAACACACTGACAGGTGTGTGAAATGATATGAACTGCAATAGGTTGGAACTGGAAACATTTAGTCAGAAGATCACACTGTTTATTACATAGCACGACAACAGTGACAACGAAGAAGGAATATTGTAGCTTTGATAGTCAGAAAAGATATAGTAAAGACAGTTCTTGGCCATAATGTATAATCAATGGCCAGATACTATCAGGTAGACCTCATGGACAACCCTTGTCTAGGTTATCCACTGATGCAGAAGACAAGGAAATTGATGAGTTTTATGGTCAAGTTCAATCACATCCTGTTAAGAAAGCATGTTTTTATTGTTTGATACTATTGGAAATAGTAAAGTGGTTGGACTGTTTGGTCTAAAAAACAGAAATGAATCAGGAAAAGAACAGTTTGTTAAGCAACCAACCCCAAATGCAACATAGTCTATATTCATACTTGTTTTTATGATGTGTGTCCCTTTTCATATTAGCACCACTGATGTATTTTCTTTGCAGTGGGAGCTCCATTTGGAAGTGTGATGTATGAGTTTGTTGGGAAATCATCTCCTTTTCTGATCCTGGCAGTCTTGGCTCTCTTAGATGGAGGTAAGTCATCCTTTGAAGTAGTCAGGTCAGGGCCCACCTTGAATCATTGAGTTGGAAAAGACAGCTCCAGACGCCAATTTTTCTGTGAAGTAAATCCCACTGACCATAGTGGGGCTTACTTCTCAGAAAACATCCTAAGAAGATGGCAGGGTCAAGGGAGAACTGAGCTACTGAATAGAAATAAGGTTGAATATAATTAGTAGGAAAGGTGGAAAGATATTTCTAAGCATGAAATAATTATATTTTTGTTTAAGCTTTGCAGCTTTGTATCCTGCACCCAACAAAGATTTCACCCGAGGTAGGGCAAAAATACCCATTCATGTTTCCTTTTATATATGTACTAAAATATTTTACCCTACTTGTTGATGCAAAGTCTCTACACATCTATTTACTTTTACTTTTTAATGCAAAATAAAATGACTGTTTAAAAGTGGCAGTGTAAAATATCAGATTAGGAGTTATAAAATCAAGAGCAAAACAAGCATTTTACTCAGAGCAAAAATACAGGAACTCTGAAAGCTGCTAGAAAAGCAGGCTTTTTGCAACAAAACAAAACAAAACAACTCTAATTAACATCTTCCTCTGAAGCATATCTGTCTTCCCTGTATGTTTTCTAGAGTATCAAAGGAACCTCCTTGATGACCTTGTTGTGGGATCCCTATATTTTGATTGCAGCAGGTAAGTTTTAGTGCCTCTGTTATGGGCATTTGGTTTTGAGGATACAATAACCACCATCTCAACTTAGCTTCTGTGGAACTGAGGTGGGTTTAGAAAAGATTCTTCTGATTATCAGCATTGCTTATTGTTTCTGGTCCTGCCTGCTGGAAGAATAAAGCATGGTTGTCTGCTGTATAGTTGAGGATGGTTTTACATCTTTCCAAGCAAAATGCACCCTACTCTTTCTATTGTCCTATGTAGCAAATGTAGAATCAGAGAGTCTAAAGGGGGTATTTGTAGGAGAAGAGCAGGCAGAGCCAGGGGCAGAGTTAAATGGGTCATCAGCCTAGAATTGTTTTCTTTGCACAAATAGACCAACACTTCTTGAATTCTCTAGTATCAATTTAGTGCTGAACATTAGTTGACTAGATTCTTGTGTATAGGCTTGTCCAATAAATCTTCTTCACTGCAACTTAACATATGGTCCTGATTCTTTGCATCTGACAGTATTAGGTCATTGCATGCAGTGCGGATTTCCAAATTAATTGCTGTCCAACTTCTCATTCAACACATCAAATAAATGTGAGCTCAGCCTGTGTAGAAGGTTCCATTGTCAAACTAATAGAAAGTTTTTAGGAAGTTTTCCTAAAGTTCTCTTTGTCTGAAAGGTGTTATTTCATATTTTGCATTTGCCCTCTTGGGTTAGAGCAAAGGCTGCATTTCTTGGTCTTTTTCTCTGGGAGAGCCTTTAGTTACTGAATAAGGGCTCTCATGTCCATGCTCACTTGAGGTTTTGCAAGTCCAAGAACATATCAGTTCCCTCCATCCCTCATTGTTGGCTTCCAATCTCCCAATCATGCCAAGAGGGCCTTTCTTTCCATCTACTTTCCCCATGTCTTTCTTCAAATGTGATGCTCTCAACTGAACACTTAATTGAGTTGGGAGTCTGGCTGATGCTCTGCTAATTGATAGAAAACTTATAAAGGGTCTGCATCTTTTCTCTTCTTCCAGGTTCAATTTGCTTTGGAAACATGGGAGTTGCTATTTTAGAGGCTACTTTGCCCATTTGGATGATACAAACTATGTGCTCCCCAGAATGGCAACTTGGTAAGTTTTTAAAAGAAATAATTGTCATAGGAATTGGATGGTAATAAAATATACTGCTCAAAAAAATAAAGGGAACACAAGCAGAAGACATCCGAGATCTGAATGAATGAAATAGCCTTATTAAATACTTTGTTCTTTACATACAGTAGTTTATACACTGCTCAAACAACTAAAGGGAACACAAAACTACTGTATGTAACGAATAAAGTATTTAATAAGGCTATTTCATTCATTCAGATCTCGGATGTCTTCTGCTTGTGTTCCCTTTATTTTTTTGAGCAGTGTATGTTTAGATTAATTTAGTCTTTAAATTTTACACTAAGATGCAAATTGTATATATTTAAAATCAATTCAGGAGGACTTCAAAACCATTTGTGTTTCTTGGGATGGACTTGGTCTTTGAATGGCAAGCTAGAAACCATATTTCAAAAATAATATATGGGTCAGGAGTAAATAGATTTGTTTTAATTGTGTTTATTATTGAAATTAAAATATTTAATTGAAATGAAAATACTGCTTGTAAAAAAGATAATTTTCTCTTCTGTCCAATGAAAAGTATTCAGTAGAAATTGTAAAGGAACTCTGGGACAGTTATTGTATTGTATCTTTTTTAAAAAAAAATTATTAGAGCATTTTGTTATAGTTCAAAAAAAATCAAAAACAAATGTATAATAATTTTTCTATCATGGTGTAACATTGCCAAAATATCCATATATATATATATACATCAATAATCGAGAGTAAAAATAGAAAATATTTACAGATTCTTGTATACAAATTTACATTTTCAATACTTATTGATTACTATAAATATATCATCATCTATAATTATAATCCAACATTATCCTTTGTCTCTCTCCCATCGTTTCTGGGTCCAATCATACCACATATTCCAACTACCATAAAAGTCTGAGTCTCTTTTACCCTTGATCAGTTTTGTAAGCCTATCACATTCCATGATTTTATAAATTATTTTTGAGTCCATTGGTAAGTCCTCATTCTTCCATTCTTGTGCGAATGCCAGTCTCCTTGCAATAATTATGTGCAGCATCAAATACCATTTAGTCAATCCAATATTTGCGGGTCTAACCCCCAACAAAAAGATTTCCGGTTTCAGTTCCCCTCTACAGTATGTGATTTCAAGCAACCATCATTGTATTTTCATCCAATATTTAGCTGCCAGCGGGCATGTCCACCATTGGTGGAAGTAAGTTCCATTGCTATGCCCACATTTCCAGCACTGTGAGGATGTCCCGGGGAATATTTTAGCTAATCTTGCTGGAGATATGTGCCATCGATAAACCATCTTATAAATATTCTCTTTATAAGAGGATGCCATAGTTAATTTTAAATTTTTAAGCCAAATCTCCTCCCATTTTTGAAGATCCAATGAATAACCCATATTTCGCCCCAAAGCAATCATGGAGTCTTTAACGACTTCCTCCCCTGCTTTCAATGATAATAGGTAAGAATAGCATTTCAATAAGACTTTCCTGTCATTACCTAATAAGATTTTATCCAATTCCTGTTTTCCATGATATATCCCTACACTCTCCTGATCTTTCTTCCACCTTGAGTGTATTTGGGTGTAGGCCCACCAGTCTATGTCTCCAACCTCAGTTGTTCCCGTGTCTTCAGCCTGTCCCGAGTATCCAAAATATCTTCATAGGTCAAGACCTTCTCTCCTTTATATAATGTCGGGTATACCAGGGCCTCCTGAATCGAGATCCAACATGGTATCTTCAGATACAACTTTCTCCTAAGTTTTTTCCAGGTATCCCCTAGGATCTTACATAAATAATGATTCCGAAAATACCTCGGTTGGGCTGACTGTCCTGGCCATAAAAAGTGGTACCATGTTGAAGGCCGTAACCTTCTGCCGCCAATAGCCGCCTCCTTTTCAGGGCAGTCCAGTCCTTCACCCATATCAGAATGGCTGCTTGATGGTAAAGCTCCCAATTTGGGAGTCCAAATCCCCCTCTAATTTTAGGTTCCTGCATCATCCTGAGCTTAATCCTTGATTTTTTACTTTGCCAAATAAATTTAGAAATAACTCTGTTCAAGGGGTTGAAGAATTCCCTATCCAAACTTACCGTGGCAGTTTGGAACAAAAACAACCATTTGGGGAGAGCGTACATTTTGACGGCAGCAATCCTTCCCATAAGTGATAGCTGTAAATTTTTCCACCTCTCCAAATCTCTAACTGTCTGGTTATAAAGGGGAACATAATTATCTTCCTTTACCGATGAACACCTTGCTGTCAGCCAAATTCCCAAATATTTTATTCTATTAGTTATCTGCATCCCCAGGAGTCCCTCCAACTGACTTCTCTGCTTCTGCATCATGTTTTTAACTAATATTTTCATTTTTTCCTCGTTAATTAGTAATCCTGCTACTCTCCCAAAATCCCTAAGTACCTGTAATAGCTTCAGTCCTGATTCTGATGGATCCTCCAGGATGAAAACTAGATCATCCGCATATGCTTGAGCTTTCACCTCCTGGTGCCTAACCCTCATTCCTCTTATTTCCGTGTTCCTCCTAACCTCCCTAAGCAATGGTTCTAGTGTTAGCACAAATAATAGCAGAGAGAGTGGACAACCCTGCCGTGTACCCCTACCAATCCAAATCTTCTCTGTTTCCTCCCCATTGATTAATACTTTTGCTATCTGTTCATGGTAGATTGCTTGCACTGCTCCCATGAACCTCTCACCGAAATCCATATATTTCATCGGAGAAATCATAAAGTCCCAGCTCATTCTGAATGCCTTTTGGGCGTCAACAAAAATCAAGGATAACTGTTTGTCCGGACAATTTTCATAATACTCTAAAATATTCATCACCATTCTCATATTATCACGTAGCTGTTGGTTGGGCAGGAATCCATTCTGATCTGGGTGTATAAATTGGTTAAGGAAATGTCCAAGTCTCGCGGCCAGAAGTGCCGTAAATATTTTATAGTCCAAATTAAGCAATGAAATTGGTCTGTAATTTTTAATAAGTGTCAAATCAATGCCTTCCTTCAGTAGAATAGATATATAGGCCTCTGACCAAGATGCCGGTATTTGGGAATCTTTCATCACCCCATTAAATAGTTCCACCGTGTGCTTACCCAGCACCTCAAAACTCATCTTGTATAATTCTACAGGTAATCCATCCATCCCTGGTGTCTTCCTATTCGCTTGTTTTCCCATAATCAATTCTACCTCACCCTCAGTAATTTCTGCGTTAAGCAATTGTTTCATTGTCCCAGTAATTTTTGGCAAGTCTGTCCTCTCTAAATATGTCCAAATATCTTGCTCCCCTTCTTCACCCCTTTTATACAGCTAAGTAAAAAATTCTTGCACCACCCTTCTCTTACCTTTCATGTTAACATGCAACCTTCCACCCTTATCTTTTAACCCTTCTATTCTTCGATTTTCTCTCTCCTTTCTTAGGCGATAGGCTAACCACTTCCCTGGCTTATTGGCATTCTCCAAATGATTTTGCTTTGCCCATTTTATTTTATTGGCTAATTCTTCCTGATCCAACAGCCTAATTTGATGTTGCCAAAAATTCCTCTCTTCTATCCAATTTCCAGTTTCCTGACCCCTTTGCATTGCCTTTTCAGCTTTTTGTAAACTGCTCAGGAAGGCTTCCCTCTGCTTTCTTTGAGTCTTACATTTGCCCGCCAAATATTTAATCGCCAGTCCCCTCATCACTGCTTTGGCTGTATCCCAAGTATTATATATTGAGGTGTCTTCCTTTTTATTTTCATTTTTAAAAAGCCGCATCTCCTTCTTGAACATATTTATAAATTCTTCCTCTTTCAAAATCCCTACATTCATTCTCCATCTATTCCTTTTTTGGCCCAATATTTTCCAAGTCAACATTAAAGGGTTATGGTCGGCCCATTCATTAGCACCAATTTCTACCTCTGAGGTTATCTCATTCAAGTCAGGAGACATCCAAATCATATCAATACGTGACCATGAATGATGCCTGGGGGAGAAGTAGGTATATTGTTTCCTTCCAGGGTTCTGTAACCTCCAGACATCATATATACAAAATTCCTCTCTTATATTCTCACATATCCTTGGTAGCACCCTCTTCACATCTCTCCCTCCTCCTTTCCTTTTCCCCAGGACATAATCTTTGGCCTTATCTATAACAGCATTATAGCACCCAGCAGGCAAATATATTCATATTCCATTTCTGCGAATTTGTTATATAAATTTTCATAAAAGGTCCTTTGGTTACAGTTGGGGGCATAAATACAAACTAATAGACACTTCCGCTGACCAATCTCCAATTCCACCATTAATACCTTCCTGATCTGTGAATACTTCCTTGGCCACCAAATGATGCTGCACATAAATCACCACTCCTCTTTTTTTTTTTTTTGATCAGCTAATGAGGTAAATTTTTTACCTAATCTAGAATTTTCTAATAAGTTATCTTGAGACTTTTTTATATGCGTCTCTTGTAGACAAATAATATCATATTTACATTTTCTTAATTTATTCATTATCTTTTTTCTTTTAATAGGAGCATTTAAATCATTAATGTTTACCGATAGCAAGCGTACATTTTCTCCCATCCCTTTCCTCCTAGTCAGCCCTTACTTTCCCGCTGTTTGGACTTTTTTCATCTGTCTTGTCTCTCTTTGTGCCGTCACTGTTCCTCTTCTTCCTCAGTTCTCCTTTCCATTCTTTCTCTCACTTTTACCTTCACCAGTTCTCATATTATCCTCTTCCTGAGACTTCTCCAAACTTCTACTTTCTACCTCCTCCTCCATAGCCAAACCCACCATATTAAGTGTTCTGTCCCTGTCTCACACACGCACACAAACAGTCAGCCAAGGGTTAAATAAAACTTGCAGACAATAAATTCCTTCGATAACAGGATTGGCAGCAACCCAGTAGCTGCTTGCCAAGAACAAGAACAGAGGGAGGTGTTCCTCCTCCATCAGATAAACCAAAACAAATACACAAAGTCAAAGAATTTTCAAGTCCAGTCCGTAT